TCCCATTCTGACATTCAGTTTGGAGTTCAGGAGATTGTCTTGACCAGGACCACACCCCTAAATGCATTGAAGCAACTGCCATGTGATTGATTGATTAGATAATTGCATTAATGAGAAATTGAACAGGTGTTCCTAATAATCCTTTAGGTGAGTGTATATTCCATTTTTCTTGAGTCTGTTTGTTCATGCAAAATGAAATGCGATTAATATAGATTAAAACTGAATGATATTTAATTGTGATTAATCTAAATTAATCCACAGCAACCCTGTGATTAATCTGATTACAAATGTTAATCATTTGACAGCACTAATAACACAATAAAAATGAACAAGAATTTTGCCTGTTCTCCAAAAAGCTACTCATAAGTTGTTGGATAACTACTCCGCTTTGGTTCCCAAACCGCTCCTTGGAGACACTTCTATGGGCTGATACTTGTGCCACTAGAAACTGAATCTGAATTCATTAGTTGAATAATAATATTCCATATATTAGTAACACATAATATTCCACATATTAGAAATTAATACTGAATTCCGACTCATATCAGCGAGATGAATATTTTAAAAGATATTAAGCATAAACACTGCTAGAGAGCCACATGAGATGAACAGGTGAGCCATAATTTTAACTAAACTAGAAGTAAAATTCATATCCCTAGCTAGTTCTGCATTAGTCTACCAAACCAGCATAACATAACATAATCCAGCAGTGCCAGAAATCGTTCATTTAACCACATATACTACTTACCATGTACTAACCAGATGTATGGTTAATGTTTAAGCTATCGCTTGTGTATATAAAGCTTCTTCTCATATATATCATAAGGTAATACTCTTGCGACACCCCGGCACACGCCTCCTCTTTACCCCGACCTGCAGAACTGTCATAAACGTGGAAATGAGTTGCGTTGTGAACCTGTGGTCGATTACTTTTCCTCAAGGACCCAGATTGTGCGTCTCAATAAGTTGAAATTGAATTTGCGAACTGAATTCAGATTCAACTAATAAATTCAGATTCAAACTAATAAATTCAAATTCAACTAATAAATTCAGATTCAGTTTCTAGTGGCACAAATATCAGCCCATACACTTCAGTCATTCTGTATGTTTGTTAAATTTCTCCACCAGCTCAATTCATTAATTAACTTGATTTATTAAATAACTCAATGGGGTATTGATTAGCCAAACAAGGTGGTGTACTGGTCTAGTCAAAAAAATGCATGGGTGTATTGGATGGTTGCTGCAAATACTGTGATCATTTTAGGAGATGTTTTGAAATGGCTTAGCTTAATGTCATAGTTTAACACCAACATGAACATCCTTTTCGGTGACCGCCTAAGACTTTAGTGCAGTACTGTAAATGGAAAAAAGGACCCAAGATTCAGGGGTAGGGGTCCCCAACCTTCTGAAGACTGTGGACCAGCAAACGTTGCAGAAAAATATCATGGACCAGATCATTAATGGAAAAATACCACCAACATGACAGCTTATTTGCTTATCTAACATTTTGCTAACTTTTGAGAGCTGCCAATTATTCAGGTGATGAAAACATGCCATCCTCGGGGGTGGTGGAAAAGGAATATGGCTTGAAAATATGTTGTACATTTTTGGAAAATCAGCCGACCCCACTCCCAAAGCCCCAGAGTTTTACATGGGGTGGAATCCCCGCTAGTTGGGAATCCCGTCTGAGTGCACAGTGATTGCGCAGCCGGGAATGAGCGTCATGCACGCTAGCGTAACCCAATCACCTATGAAAATAAAGACATCGGACCATGAGTGTGACACTCACCTCATCACAGATATGCAAAGCAAAGATGATCGCCAGCATCCCTGTGGATGGGTACCTGCCTTGTCCCTCAGCCCACGTCTCATGGACGTACTTGAAGAAAGCTGGATGGACCACTATTACCTGCCAGGGTGACACAAAACACAGCATCAGGGCTGCCGTTCTCATTGCTGATTGGCCAGAAAACATACATCTCATTGCAGGAACTCTGGGACTACATACATTTATTTATTGCACATTCTGCTTCTATTCCAAACATCCATGCCAAATTTGCACAATTTTTCCCCACCAATCAGGTGACTAGCTGTACTTCTCGTGTCTATCTTTTAATGTCCATATCTTAAAATGTCATGTTTAAGTCTCGATCTTCAAATCCTGCTTATGACTTTCTCAATTGCACTATAGCAAACAAGAACAATATTTCAAGCTCAGTATATGACCCATGCATCAGATATCTGAGGTGGACAACAAAAGAAACTTTGTCTTAGAAGCGTACCACTGATATACATTTTCACCACACTATCATTGCAGGCTGCCCTGCATTAGTCAATTGACTCAAAGTTCAATGTCACAGAAACACGACTGTGCACGTTGTACGCCAAGTCATGTATTAATTACCTTCTACATCCACCTTACCTTATCCTTATCTGCTTTAACCAGGTTTTTGACTCTCATATATGTCCTGAAAAGAACAAAGGAAAACACAAGCACATAAGTGCTTTTGTGGCTCCATATTATCCATACACCTGTTACCTTCAAATGAAGCAGCATGTTATTAAACTCGAATTACATTTGCATTTACACCTCACTCGTCATGAGTTAAGTGGTCATTCTGAACCTCTGTTTGCTTATGTGTACTCAGTATAAGCATCTCATTCAGGGAATAAACAGAGAGTATAGTCGTGTAGGGGGTGGGACAGGCCTACGTTTTGATCTTTCCTGTGGACAGGGCACTGGCCACCCATTGAAGGTCACGCAACTTGAAGGGCAGCAGGATGAGGTGGACCCCTGGGCTGAGATCCACTGCGCTCTCGGGGTACATGAAGTGGTGCGTGGTCTTGCTTCCCACGTCCACCTCGAATCCCAGAGTGGTGGCTCTATTCATCCTGTAGGAGGAGTCAAAAGAAGAGCTTGGATCATGATGGGGAGCTGCTGCAGAGGGTGGAGGACATCCAGCTCGGGCCCAAGCACCAATTCCCACAAATAAATTAAGAACTGATGCAGCCAAAGAGGGGGATCTAAAAAAAAAAAAGCCAGCTGGGCTGAAATGTCATTTGATGGAAAGTAAAGCGTTGATATGCCATGTCCCCCTGGCTAAATGCTAACTGTGTCGGGCCTGCAGATGGTACATAAACAGCAGGACATACCTGATCACGATGTTATGGGAGTCGATCATCTTGCCGAAGTGTGTGCGTGCAAGGTTTCCAGAGTTCCCCACGACCGCGCATCTCCTGCATGCCCTGGATGGCAGATTCCTGCGCTGATATAGCGGGGGGGCTGAGATGACCTTGAACATCTTCTGGATCACTTCCTCAGGATCAAGTCCGACAGATGGCCTCTGCAGAAGCTGCCAGACAAGGGGAACATGAACCCAAGAATCAGATAGTGACTGTAAGCAACTAATCTTGTTGACCCCTCTACCCAGAAGACATTACTGAGGATGCTTTAACAAACTACCTCAACTTGTTCATCAAAATTGAAAGGGCACTTGACTGGCACTTCAAGGGGTCAGGTTAAGTAAACTGCCTCAAGACCCATCTACTCCAGGAATACCCCTATAAGCCTTACTCTGTGATCCCTTATTAGTCATCTTATTAGGTTCTTGCTTTGTTTGGAAGATGCTGTGTAGCTCTTGCTCCTACATTACTTATACTTATTACTGGCTACTCATTGGAAGCTCAGCCTAGCTCAGGGGTGGGCAATCTTATCCGCAAAGGGCCGGTGTGCATGCAGGTTTTTCCTGCAGCTCCCTAATTAGGTCACTAATAAGAGGACTGATTGGCTGAAGAATCCTCACACCTGGGTTTGAACAGCTGACCTAAAGGTTACCCCAAAAACCTGCGTACACACCGGCCCTTTGTGGATAAGATTGCCCACCCCTGCTCTAGCTGTGCTTATGCCCAAATTGGCTCCTTGGCAGCTGTATGATTGCAATATACTATGTGCCTCGTTTTGTACAGTGGATATAAAGCGTTCACACCCCTGTTAAAATGCCCGGTTTTTTTGATGCAAAACTTTTCCCACCTTTAATGTGACCTATCCCACCAAACATGAGACGTCCATCAGACGTGCAGATCATGTCTAGATGGAGTCGGTCGGTCCAGAAACATATCTGGACGTCTACACAACGTGCAAATCAGGTGCAGTATCTGCACGTCTAACTCTGACCCCTCTTGGGCGTAGATATGTAGTTCAAGCTGAACGTCTAGGTAGG